ATATACTTTTATTCCCGAAGTTTCTGCTTCCTATTTATTCAAATCTTTTGAATCCTTTGATAACTTTTCTTCAATGATGCTTCCTGTTTCTTCAAATATCTTGAAGCCCAAGATTCTCTTTTGCAATACTATTTTATCTCCTTTTCTTCGTCTTTTTTTTACAAGGATGAATGTGGAGTTCTGTATATTGTCGTCAGTTTTTATTTGATATGAAGTTGAAACTGTTGCACTGTCTCAGTTATTTGAAATCGTGGTGGGTGGTATTCTTAGTACATTTTCCTATTTTATTTCTTTTATGATATATTTTTTAATGTACACTCGGTTACACAAATTTTTAATGGATTCATGGTATTGTATCTTGCAGTGGTGGAATTCCTAGGAGTGGTTCCTATTCATGGAATTTCTCTCAAATAGATTGACAGTTATGAAATTTTGCCACACTATAGTTGGTTCCTTTTAAAATAAGATTTTAATGTGAATGGTTGAGGTGAAAGAGATTTGATGGTGATAATTTGGAAGCAGAAAAAACAAATTAAACTTCCTCACTCGACAATATTGTCCCCTTTTAATTATTAAGCGTTTTTTGTTTATTTAAAAACATAAAAATTCAATAAATAATTTATTAAACACTAGGGTTCGACACAAAATAATCTCCAAAAATAATAACATTTCTAAATTTATGTCCGAGGAAACACAATAATCTAAATATCCCTAATTTTATGTCCGTGGGGAATGCACAAAAAATCTACAAATATAACATCCCTGATTTTATGTCCGTGGGGAATGCACAATCAAGGTTTATTGATAATTCTCATCTCAAAAAAGAGAAAATGAAGCTAAATATTATGTTGAGGGCAAAAGTAATTGTGTAGACTCGAACCTAACTAAAGAAAGAGAAACAAAATACATGCACAACAACCAAACCAAAGCCATGACAAAGATCACATCAAACATATATATATATATACCATCCATCAGCCAACTACTGTTCAGTCAAACATTTTTTCGGTCAAACAACTTCAGAAAACAAATCTTCCCCAAAATTCAACGATAACCCAACTACTGTTCGGTCAACAATTTTTCAGTCAAATAATCTTCAAAACAAATCATCCACAAAATATGATCCATCACCCAACTACTGTTCATCCAATGATCATCCCACAAGCCACAACCCATCTACTGTTTTAAGTTTTTTCAAAAATCTAATCATTAATACAAGTAAAGTTTACTGGTCATCCATGATCATCTACTGTTATATAACCTGGCTACGCAAATCAAACTGGCGTTTGTTACTGCAACCAAAGCAAACAACATAAAAGTAAAGTAAAAAAAACACATCAAGAGGAATATTTGTAAAAACAGATGTAAAATAATAAAAATCACATTAAGAGGAATATTAAAAACAAAAGAACCATATGAATAAGAAGATTAGGAAAGAATCCTACCTTTCAATCAATCGCAGAATCACTTCAAGGTCCGGAAGCATAACATACCGATCGCTCAAAATCTCTTTGGCTGTTGACTTTCCGGTTTTGTAGTCAAATTCATAGAATTTTATCCCTTGCGTGAAATAAAACTCACCATTGAGTTGATGTGGAATAGTTACCTCGCTAATCCACAGGGCAGTTTCACCAGGATGTTGAAAAACATAAAAATCACAGTCAAAAGGGATGAGTCCTCTTATGTCAGACACCCAAAGGCCAGTGCCAATTGCAATTTCACCAAATATTTCCTAGTATCTGTTTCTAAAGGGCGCCATTCAGTTTATAGGACTGTAGTTCGATCTTTGGATGCAGATTTTCTAGCATCTGTTTCTAAAGATGGTACCGCTTGGGCGTTTGAAATGGCTGAATTCAAGTGAAAAAGGTGATGGTACCGTTGGGGTGTTTGATTTGAGATGACTGGATTCTTCAAGTGAAAAAAGGAAAAAGAAGTGATCATGCTTGTTCCTTACCTTTGAATTTAGCCTAATTATTGCAAACTGAGACTGGTTTTTGTATATTGGTACGAATTTCTTGTGTGTGTGTGCGGATGATTTTTGTAAGATTTTATGCTTGCTATGAACAGTAATATGAAAGCAAAGCAGTCATTCTACATGTTTTTACTGCAAAAAAACATGACATCTAAAATATAAAAACCAAAAAACAAATACCAACTTCAAACAAAAAACTAGGTAGAAAACATAATTGCCAGTAAAAAGAAAAGAAAAATCCTGAAATACAAAAGAAAGCATACTGACTAACAAACCACCATGATACATATATAGAGCAAACTGAGTTGAGTGGAACATACTTATTCAACCATCGAGCGGAACATAGCTCTCCACAAAAGGAAAAATGTGCGCCACTGTAGGAGTATGCACACCGCGTATCGTCACCAACTTGCTCGTCGCACAATCAAAAAGCATAATTTTACCATTCAAGCCCAAATAAATCAATTTCTCAGTCCCAACGAGGATATATAAACCCACAGAAAGAGGGATGGTGAGCGAGGACACCAGGGACCATGAGCCATAGGGGTGTTCACGGTCCGGTTTTAACCGAAAAAAAACCGTCAATCCAGACCGCGGATCGGTTAAATGGTCAGTTAAAAAAGCCTTAAGAAATCCGGTGGTTAATTTTTTTAAAAATCCGGAATAACCGGTCCGGTTAACGGATTACCTGCGGCAAACCGCTGGATTAACCGGACCGGACCGATAAATATTAAAAAACTATAACAAATATATATATATACATTTGTCATTCACTATGACCGACAAATACAATGCTTTCACTATATTTGCTTTGCTCTTATCCCTTGCCTGAAATAAAACTCACCATTGAGTTGATGTGGAATAGTTACCTCGCTAAGGGCAGTTTGACCAGGATGTTGAAAAACATAAAAATCACAATCAAAAGGGATGAGTCGCCTTATGTCAGACATCCAAAGTCCAGTGCTAATTGGAATTTCACCAAATTTTTTCTTTATCCTCCCTAATAAAATATCACCATTTCCAAAGAATTGAATGTAGTCAAAGACTCAAACATGAGTTCATCTCCGTGTTTCAAAAACTGCTTGAAATAGTATTCATAATTGCATTCATCTTGACATATTCAACATACCATTAATCCAGAAAGAGTCCAGCTTCTCTAAATCAAAACCTCAACGCAACATATCAGCTCTAAACGACGCATAGTCTTCCAATTTCAATTTCATGTCAGGCTCAAATGTATGATTTCTTTTGGTTCCAGACCAGATGATATTATGTAAAGTAAAATTTGTTCCATATTTCGACCTTTTTATGTAAGGTTGTCCATGAGGGGTTCTTAATATTTTGTAGAAATGCATAACAAGGCAGGTAGCTCACAAATACCTTCACAAATCCACGTAGATGACGACGTAAACGTAGAGGATTCCAAAAGGGGAAAAAGTCATAGGGGACTGAGCAGGAGAAGACCGAGTCCGAGCAACGGCGGATCCAGGACTTTTATGTAATGGGGCCTATCTCCTTCCGCCTTATCCTGGATTCGCCGTTGCTCGGACTCCCTGCTCAGTCCTCTCTGACTCTATCTCCTTTTGGAAGCCTCTACGTTTACGTCGACATATACGTGGATTTGTGAAGGTATCTGTGAGCTACCTGCTTTGTTATGCATTTCTACAAAATATTAAGAACCCTTCATGGACAACCTTACATAAAAAGTCAAAATATGGAACAAATTTTATTTTACACAATATCATCTGGTCTGGAACAAAAAGAAGTCATACCTTTAAGTCTGACATGAAATTGGAATACTATGTGTCGTTCGTTTAGAGCTGATGTGTTGCGCTGGGGTTTTGATTTAGAAAAGTTGGACTCTTTATGGAGTTAATGGAATGTTGAATATGTCAGATAATTGCAATTATGAATACTATTTCAAGCAGTTCCTGAAACACGGAGATGAACTCATATTTGACTACATTCAATTCTTTGGAAATGGTGAGGTTTTATGAGGGCCGGAGGAGTCGGGGCCGGTGGAGTGAGAGCCGGATGAGTGAGGGTCGGATGATACATGGCCGGAGGAGTCAGGGACGAAGGAGAAAGGCGGGAGGATAGGGTCGGAGGAGATCGTACCGAAGGTTGCGAGGGCTTGCCGGGGTGAAGGACGTGACATGAATTGCCGGAGGAGACACCTCCAAATCATGATTGCCAAGTTGAGATCTATGGATTATGATTGTTTCAGAAGAACAGAGACGGGTTCTAGGGTTTATGATGGCTTTAGGAGGAGGGTTAGAATTTTGGGCTTCATGGGCTTAGAAAAAGGGATTGAAATCGAATGGGCTAAATTACTTAGCTGAATGCAAATACAAAATAAACAGAACAATTTTAGAGTTCTACTGGTAGTTTGGGCTGTATCAAAATACAAAATAACAAAAAATAAAATAAAGGGATTGAATGAGCTAGATTAGTCTTGAGCTTGAGCAATCTTATCACCTTGTAATCCTCATAAGCCGAATCAAACCCAAAATCAAAATAACCGTGGAACATTTTCACAAACCTGTATGTGCAAGGTGTGAAAAAGTTGATAGGATGATTTGTTATATGAAAAAGATCCACTTGAATCTATTTTAAGACTAGACCCATGTTTCATCATAAAAATTACTACTTTAACAAATGGTTTCACCACCATTTCAACCCAACTTAAAATAAAATAAATAATAAATAGATAAATAACTTGTGAGTATCACAAGTATTGTCACCTAGAGTCAAAGGATGAAGGTGCTGGAGGTAGGGTTTTGACTTCCCCTGTGGTCGGGTTTCCCTGGAGGCTTCGTATCTTTTTCCCGTACCAAAAGCAGCAACAAACCATTGCAAATAGATGAGGGATGGTGATGATCCTTGGCCAATGGATATATTAGATCTTTCTCGAATTTAGGATCTTTATCCTTGATCGAAATTATCGAGTATTGTAACAATCCATCGTCGATTTTCCCTGATGCTCCAAGCTGCGCCACCAAAACTTGCTCTCATCCTTGATTATAGGAGTTTTGTACAAATTCAGGAAGGATTTGAATTTTGACTTGGCGTGGGCCAAAAGATTGAGGCACGTGCTTCTCAATCAACTCTGCCTATAAAAGTCCTTAAATTAATCAACCCTAATTACCACATCCATCACCCCAAATCGGGCCCTCAAATCACCACATAGACCCATCTCACCATGGACACAGGATCAGGGCCCCACCAAAACGTGGCCCAGCTCCAATTAACACGACCGACGCCAACCAAAATCCTGTACCACCAAGGTCCGATAGCTACCGGCCTTGGTCACCACAGCCACCAAGTCGACTTCACAGTCGGGCCGACCACTGCCGCCGACAGACGCGTGGCGAGCATCTCCGGCTCTTGCTCCAGGATCTTCTTCACCATGGCGAGATCTCGCTTTGTCATTTGGAATGCTGTGTCGAACCCAAAGCTCATTACCAACAAAAATTACTTTAACAACACACTCACAGCTAATCTAATCTGCATAATCGACCAACATATATCGATCGTTTACACAGAGTGAACTAAAACAAGATTGAGCTTTCAGTATATAACATTTGAATTAAAACAAAATGGAATAGGCTCACAAGTAGATTTGTTCCCATGCTTCATAAATTGATAATGAAGGTGCTGATAATTTGTGTAATCGGATATATAGCGATGACCATCAACCCAGAAATGATCAAAGTAGCTCAAGTTTAAACCCAATTCACAAGTACGAAAAACAATATAATCAGTAAGATCAAAAGTAACAGAGTAACCAGAGTAACCAGAAAGAAGAATGAAGAATGGAAGAAGACCACCAAATCAAATTGTGAACAAATAAGCTACCACAATTGGATTGCTTATCGAAATAAGTCCAATAGGGATCTTTAGAGTATAAAGAAACTACGGCATATATGAAAGTCCTAGCATGACAGAACCAAGGGTGACAAGACCGAAGGGTTTCTTAAACGGAACAAATAGAACACATGTGAAAAAGACAGAGAAAACCTTGGCATTGCACGAGAAAACATTGTTGCCTTGCCTGGGGGTGGCGGAGGTGGAGAGACTGACCACCAAGGACCGGACGGAGGCAGAAAGAGTAACCATCGAGGATCAAGAAGATTATAATTTCGGATTCTTTTTCTGTGAGAGAGAGGATAGGGTTTCTGTTTCTGATTTTTGAGAGATTGTTTTTAGGGGTGGGAGACTTTCTACAAAAGGTAGGGTTTCTGTTTATGAAACACGGTGTGAAGGTTTAAGGTCGGGAAAACTGGTCGTTACTAAACGGGTTGTAATATGTGACTGTATGAATGACCTTAACAAGTTAGACATCATGCAAAAAAAAAATAAGAATGCAAAAAAAAATCTCAAGAATAAATAAATTTGGGCCCTTCCGCTATATTCAAATGAATAATGAACAAAATACAAATAAGAATGCAAAATTAAAATATTAAAAAAATTTAAAGGGTTTTTCTAGTGCATAAATATTCAATCAACACAATCATACTTTCAAATTTTTTCTTCAATAAAGATAATCATACCTTCAAATTTTTCTACATATTTTTCACAGAGCTTAAAATTCTTGCCATATAGAAATTTGAATGAAACTTCTAATAATTAACATTATTTAACATGTTTCTAGAGAACGAGAAGTTAATGTATGTTTGGATATAAGATGCATAATTTTCAAACCTGTCCCAAAAAATCGACCCGGTAGACACCGGGTCACTGATTCAATTCTCAAGTCACCTGAGTCAACAAAAAATTTTACAAGTTGCAAATTCCACAAGCGCGTATAGTTTGGGACCAATGTTTTATCCATTTAATTTTTCCAAGATAAAATTAAACACGAAAACTCTAAGCACCCAATTATGTTTTGAAAAATATAGATGGTCGATTCATCCTAAATCGACTTGTAAAAGTCAGAGCTTGCCTGCTTGTATATTTAAAACAACTAACTGAGCTTGTTTATCAAACAAGTCGAGGTGTTCGCGAATAATACAGTTTGAGTTTTTTAGTTTTGGTCTAGGTCTTAAAGTTTATTAGATGACTTAAACTGAGTTCAAACAAACATACCTGCCCGTGAAGGCTTATCATTTCGCCATTTTCATATCCAACTTCTGTTTGACGCGCAACAAGGCTCTGGTTGCATCTTTATTTCCTTCATAAACTTCCACAGCACATTTTAACGGTTTGTTTTTCTCGTTTTTGCGAAATAGCAGCAGCATCTATGTTCGTCCAGTAATTGTACCTCATTGACATGTGTTAAGCTTGCAAGTAAATAAATGATATGTAATGCTTGCAAGTAAAAACAACCAGGGCAAAATATGAACAGATTCATAACTAGAGGTAGGAGCACGAAATGCCTCCAAAAAGTGAACAGATTTAATTCAATTAGCCTTTTAAATTCAGCAAAAAAGATGGCATTTCCCATTACAACAAGGTGACTTGCAATATTGTATTTCTTCTAACAAAAAATCATTGATGAGATGGGTAAAATTGAACGAGTAAATCATTAGGATTAAAAGTTCTTTTCAGAAGGTTCCAATTTATTATTCCTTCAATTAAATAAATAAGGTAATCTCTTCTAGTGACTCTTGATTGGTGCCATCATCATATACTCTAGTACCAGAAAAGGAATGGAATTCATACTTTTATAAGCATAAATGGGGAGGGAAAAAAAAAAAGAAACAAACTACTGGAATACCTTCTGACGTCTCATAGCCTTTAGAGGTGATAAAGCCCACTTATATAAAGGATCATGGATAAAGACCTGCATAAAATTCCACAACACATTTTAATGGTTTGGTTTTCTCGTTTTCACAAAATAGCAGCATCGTCTATGTTTGTCCAGTAATTGTGTACCTCAAACATTGTAAGCAGTGCTTCTTCATTTGTTCTCATCACAGAGAGAGTTTCCTCACAACATCTTCTAGAAACTCCTTCCACCAGTTACTCCCATACCATCTATGATGTCTCTCGTCAGCCTAAATGAAACCTGAACATTGATGGTATGTTATTATATCAGTCCAAGGCAAGCAAATGAGAAATGAAATACAATCCAAGTGAAAAACGAACCCGTTCAGGTGTTTTTAGCATCAGTCCTTGCTCAAATGCGACTCCTAAATCAATATGGACAACTTCTGCTGTAGCTTGATTGATCAAGATATTCATGGAATGCCGGTCACCTAATCCTACGATGTAACCCACCTGTGTAGAGAAGGCAACAGAAATTTACTGCTATCAAATCTTTAATTATCATACTACGATCACTCCAAGAAAAAAATGTTTAGGCAATGTATTTATGGAGATGAACTAAAATATATTTAAAGAATGGGAGAAAAGACACAACACTAAAGACACCACAGACCATTGAACTAGCCGCCACACTCCTTGTATATGCAAGTCTCTTGTCAAACCAGTCCGCAGGCTGTGAAAACCTCTCCAAGAAGAAGTAATGCATGACTGGCCTGCATTTCAAGTCAAATAATGCAGAGTTAGATCAGCCGTTTAGCAATGTAAGGTAGTTTCACAAAATCCAGACACCAGAAATTCTGGCAGACTTCCTGGATGCCTTGGGCTTGTTAGTTTCCTACAAAACAACATGAATGAGATAATTAAGCGATTTCTTAGAAGAACAAAAACTAGCAACACACACACACAGAGGGAGGAGAGAGAGAGAGAGAGTTGTCTACAAAATGGAGAGAAACTAAAACAGGTTGCACAAAAAAACCATATTGATATTGATACATACTGTAGTCATGTGCTGCCGGCATACCATAAAAGTCCAATCCATAAAAGTCCAATCCCCTACTCCGTAGAATCCATGAGCACCTCCATTTCTGGAGCTACATTGGGCATCCATATGTTTATATCTCAATCATTTCTATTAAACTATTGCCTTTATTATGAAGCAAATGGGTTGTGTGATTAACCTTCCAATCAGATATTCACCAAGCGGGAAAGTTCCGTTCACCCACTCTTGAACACCAGCACTGGGAGTAAAAGGCACAACCTATCTCATAAGAGATAAAGATGACAAAAAAATGAAACTAGTTTCACAATGAAAGATGCATGATACTTTACCATAAAAACTCAAGGTAAAAAATATAAACAAACAAATAAGTATATAACTTAACAGTTATATGGACCTCAATTGTTTACTGATAAACCATAAAAAACTCCTACTTTGGACGATGCAACATTTATTGAAAACATGAAATGTCCGTGGGAAGGAATACAGCTGGAAGGCTAAAATATCTTCACAACCTGATGCTTAAACACTTGCCAGTAGCTATTGCCACCGGGAAAAATCCAGATTTTCCAAGTTTAGCAAACCATTTAATAAATAGCACTTGTCAAAGTTGCATATGAATTAGAATGCAGCCATAGAGAGATTAACACGCTGACAAATGCTCGGCAGTTCTATCTAACTCACAAAAAAAGTTGTGTTTTCAGGAACAGAATTTCCCCTGAAATTTGTATGCCTAAGCATGACATCAGAAGTAAGGGCATCACGATAAAAGTAGTAGAAAGAAGAGACATAACACAACAAGGACTATTGGAAAAAAACTCAACATCAACTTAAGTGCCAATATTACATACTAGAAGTTTTTAAGGTGCTGGTTTGACTCAAGGAAATGACAAGATATGAGATGGCACACTGTTCTATTAGAAAATTCAGAAGTTACTCCATCATTTCTGAATTTTCTTTAAGAAATTTAAGCGACACCTTTTCTAAAAGGTTTATTATGCAATCCATCTATACAGTATCTACTTAACTAACCAAATATTTCATAAAGTAGAGAACTTATCACAGAACTAAGCACAAATACTAGTTTTTACCTACCTTGTATGTATGTATCTTGAGCCTCCTCCTCCATGTGTCACGCAAGAAAGTGTTAACTAAGCCGAAGAACTGCTCCATCACCTGCATGTTATGTATCAGAAATATGTAAATATAAATAACATACAAGTCCTAGGTCTGACATTGGAACAAGCTTTTAAAAAAATAAAAATAAAAAAATCACAATACCAGATAAAATATTGAAGTAATAAAGAACTTCTACTACATCATAACGACAAATCCCACCCGAGATGAACAAGGGGTGGATATGCTCATCATGAGACCTGTTGAAATTCAAGGGAGACAAGAAAAGCTATGCAGAAATCTATGTTCTGGGATACATTAAAGCATGGTCTCTAATTCTAGAACAAGACGAGAAAATTAGAAGCACTAGGGAATAATTCACTTGGTGATGCCCAACAAACAGAAAGTCCCAAAAAATGCTCCGCAGAAAACGCGACGAACAACCTTAGTTTTGTTGTTCTGAAGCTAAATTGCGTGCAAGAAGGTTTGATACAAGAGATGGACACTAGTAACTCATTTAGACAGATCTACTGGAGAGGAAGAGAGGAAAAAAAAGATTCCCATCTGAACTATAGCTTGAGCTACAGAGTTCACTTAAAATCTATTTAGCTATTATATTTAATTCTACATCTCATAGAACTATTTTATTTTATATATTCACTCATATAAAGAAAAACATTATTCTCCTGCTTAAGTGCAGCCATAGACTTTCTACAAATCCATCATTTCAACAGCATATATAATTCACAAGAGTAAGTAATCATAATACATACAGCATCTTGTCTACTGATTTTGCAAGTTGTCCATTCTTGGAGTTGGTCCAACTACAAAGTGGTTCTTCCAGACCTGAAAGAAGTTGGTAAGGCAGCTCTCTCGTGAACGTAATGACAGGTTTGTGAAAGTTTTCGGTGGAAATATAATTACGAGGTTTGTTCTTTTAATACATATTCTGGTCAAAATAATGTTTTTTTTTTCTTCATGTTTTATGCATATTATTCATTATCTATTGGTATTAGATAATGTGCAACAAATAGTTTCAATCAATATTGAGATGGATGACAAGGTTTCTTTTAGGTAATGTCAATAACTTTCTATTGGTTAAGTTCTTATGAATTACATAATTTTGATTTCTAATATTTTAAGGTGTCTTGCAGGATTTATTTCAGAGTAGATGATCGAATTACAGAATTTTGATTCCTAATATTTTAAGATGTCTTGCAGGATTTATTTTAAAGCAGAAGAGCTCTTTTGAGTTAGAGTGAAGAAAAATTTTGTTCAATTGTAGTTTTTTTTTTTTAAACCATTGTGGACATAAATTTATGACATGAAATTGGGATCTCTCTTCAATAGAGATAAAACTGTTTTGGTGGCATGAAATTGGGATCTAGTTGTTTTTCTTCTTTTTTCTTTTCAAACTCTTGTGGGCAGAAGTTTGTGATATGAAATTGGGAGATGTTTTTAATCTCTATCCTGTTTTGGTGGCAAATTGCAATAACAGAATAGTGTTTAAAAACAACTAGATCCCAATTTCATGCTTGATCCCAATTTCATGCCACCAAAACAGTTTTATCTCTATCGAACAGAGATCCCAATTTCATGTCNTTTAAAAAAAAAAAAAACTACAACTGAACAAAATTCTTCCTCGCTTTAACTTGATCTTCTTGCTCAAAAGAGCTCCTCTGCTTTAAAATAAATCCTGAAATACTCCTTAAAATATTAGGAATCAAAATTCTGTAATTCGATCTCTGCTCTAAAATAAATCTTACAAAACACCTTAAAATATTAAGAATCAAAATTATGTAATTCATGATGACTTAAGCAACATAAAGTTATTGACATTACCTAAAAGAAAGCTTGTCATCTTAATATTGATTCATTCCAAAGTCCAACAAGCTATTTGTTGCACATTATCAAATACCAATAGGTAACGAATAATATGAATAAAACATGAAAAAAAACAAAAGTATTATTTTAACAAGAATATGTATTAAAAGAACAAACCTCGTAATTATATTCCCACCAAAAACTTTCACAAACCTGACCGTTGAGAGAGCTGCCTACCAACTTTCTTCAGGTCTGGAAGAAGCACTTTGTAGTTGGACCAACTCCAAGAATCAACTATATCAACCCAATTACCATCCTTATCTTCCTTCTTATACCTTGGATACCCATTGAATAGTTCGCCAGAAAATGTTAAGGGTACATTGATTTGTCTTACCCAAAGATCAAATCCAACTAAGACCACTTTAATATCAAGTAGATACGGAAACAAACTAGCAAAGTAGATCATGGACATGGGCATGTCCTGGGTTTATAGGGAGAGAACAAATATTGGAACGGGCCTTCTAGTACATGATATCAGATAAGATCAACAATTAACTTACGTCCGTACTGAGTGATGTAATGTTCATAATTGAGAATATCAAATTTATGGAGGTCCCGTCAACCCAAAATTTAAACATATAGCTCAAATCAATACCAAGCATATCAAATTATCACGAAAAACAAGGTATCGAATGGTACTAATTTCACCAACAAGTGAACCACCAGACAAATTTTGTAACAAATTTTGTAACAGGTGGAAAGTCACACAGTTTGTCAACATAAGTCCAATAAGGTTCAGATTTATAACGCTAATACACAAACATTGGAAGATAGGTTAAACTAACTATGATAGATTAGATCCTTTCTGATATTTGAAGGGAACAAAATTGGAGGAAAATCTAGCTTGAATGATGAAAAGAGTGTGATATGGAAAAACAGAGGTTGAGAGCAGATACGCGGAGGAAATACGAGCAAGAAGGCTGAAGTCTAAGAAACGAGTTCATCTTTACCTTGGACAGAGGTTGAGAGCGGGAAAGCGATGGGCGACGGCAACGCGGAAGTTGAGGAAGAAGACGCCGGAGAAAAGAGAACCTCCTTGTCAATGAAGGAGGTTGAGATCGAAGAAACGGAGGGCGACAAAAAGAGTTATGAGGAGGATGAAGCCGGATAATAGATATCATCCTTGTCTCAAACGGAGGTTGAGAGCGAAGAGGACGAGGATGACATGCGCAGGTTAGGGAATGACAACTCCGGCGAACAAAAGCATTGCAAAGAAACAACACCATCTTTGAACGGGATTGAAACAGAGAGATGGAGAATAGAGTTAAAGATCTAAGAGATAGTAAATTCATGGTTTTCAGTTGGGCGTTGGGGAGACTGTTACAAACTAGGGTTAAGGTTTAAAGTAGGGGAATTTAGAGAGAATGTTCTTGAGGTTCCAAGGATGGGCCTTAAACAGGGATATGAATGGGTTGGGCCTCTGGGCCTCAAACAAGATATAAAGATAAGGTTAACGGGCTGGTGCATCTTAGCATATTTCTTTTTTAATATAATTCTTACATTTTTTTCTTTTGCGTTTTCAATTAATTCCTATTAGACAGAAGAAAAAAAAAAAGAAAGAAAAAAAAATTAGAAAAGGTTTTGGATGTGACTAAAAGTTAGGTTTGGGATTCATGCAAAGTAAAAAATAATTCTCAAGGACAAAATAAATTGGTTCATAAATTTGATTCAAATGCATAATAAAAAAATAAAAAATAAGAATGCAAAATTAAAATATTAATAAATTTTCAATCAACAAAAACAAACCTTCACATTTATCTAAGAAATATCTTCCAGATATGAAGAAATATTCAATCAACATAATGACATAAAATTCTTATCAATTAGAAGTTTTATATGATACTTCTAAAAGATAAGAATTTTAAGAGATGTCATTTGTTCGTGAATTTTAAGAGGATATTTGGGATTTGGGATTGGGGGTTAGTGGTTTTTGGAAATTTTCTTTTGCAAGAACAATAGATATCATGCATGCAGTATTAACTTGGCAAAGAGTTATGACATGTATTTGTTTGTTTGGTGCGTTTTTATAGTCGTTTGGACTAACCCAGTCTTTTGGACTAACTCTAATTGCCAGGTAATTAAAAAATTGACAATAATTGTCATTTAAAAAATAAGGCATGTAACACCCCGTCTAAACTTACTAAAATCAGAGTAAATTTTTTGCGTTATAATTAGAAAGTACTCAACTAATTTTCGAAACTTAATTTAACTTTTTTGAAAATACTTTTAATCTGACTGCAGGATGCTCAACTGTCTCAACTCTCATTTCTGTTTCATTATTATTATTATTATTATTATGCAACCAAGATAAAATTCATTACTCTAAAGCGCCATGACAATCTCAAGATTCTAAGCAAACATAAATTGAATACCGAAATACTGTTCTGAGCACTGTTCTAAAAATCGTACCGTACCGGCCGGTAATACCGGATACCGGCCATTGGTACGCACAATTGCACACAGAATACCGAATTTACAGTTATACCGATTTGTACCGTGGTTATACCGTAAATACCGGAATAAACCGGTCCAAAATACCAGTCAAAAAAATAAAAAAATAAAAAATAAATTTATTAATTAAAATTGGTAGTTAAAATATTTTATTTTTATCTCATTGGTATGATAAAATTAATGATTATGGTCAATTATTTTTGTACTTTTTTACATTTAGTACTATACATTTTTATATATAAATATATATATCATTATATGTGTTAGTCCGGTAATACCACTGATATTACCGGTCCTACCGGTAATACTGCGTACCGGTGGCTAGACCGGTATGGTCACCGATATGGTATTTAAAACACTGGTTCTAAGTGTGGAAGTAAATGCAAATAAGTATGCAACAAAACATGATAATCTAAACATGTTCAAATACATACATGACATGTTTAAAAAAACCCTCGCTATGACCACCACCACCTACTCGGCTCACGCTCGACACCGTCACTTGAAAAATGGTTAGCGGTGACGCGTGAGCACAAATAATCAACGGTGCTCCGCCAGGATCGGCACTGAATAAACATCACATTTAATGACAAAATCATGTAATCAGCATATATATAAATAAATCGGTGGGACTAACAGTAATCCGATACTCATGTGCCCACACATTTGGACGTGAGACTTAGGGCGGGCATCGTGCCTATCCAAGTCTGGACTTAGGCTGGGCATCAGACCTCACACATCTAAGTCATAATTAGAGTTCTTGACTCAGACGGGATCACTCAACTGTCTCGATCCCTCAATTTAATAACATATAGACTTTAGAAAGGATAAGTAATTAAAAGCAATGTTGGATGCTGTCGAATGCAATGGTAGCAAGTGGAGACTCGACTCTCCTCAAACTACAAAATATCGAGCGACATATTCTATGTACTCACGCTCAAAATAAAAACCCGAATTTTATTATTTGATGTCTAGGTTCGATCGCTGGGTTTTGAAAATCATTTTAAAAATTTAAAAGCTAATTTTGAAAATGTTATTGGCTTTGAGGCATACTAGGGTTCTCTGAAATATTTCTAAGTCTGGAACTATAATCTAACTGAAATTTCAAATCTAACTGGTTCTAATCTGACTTGCTCTTATCTGTCTCGTTCGGAAGGAATGGATTCTCCATTCACGCTCAAACCGATGTCTCGAATTGAATTCCCGAACCATCTGCCCGGACTAATTCGGCTGGACTGAAATTCTCTTCGAACCGTCTGGACTCTCCAAACTGGTTCGACTGGACTGGACCGACGGCTCATCAGAGCCTATCGATCATTCGCTCGACTATGTTGAGCTCGGCGTTACCGAAGTGTTCGACGTGTTAACTCAAGCCTGCACGAACATCGTTGACACGACATTGCCAATACACGGGTTTAAAACGGTGCCACAGGGACATGCTTGGACCACGGCTAACGGAACGACGCATTGACGGTAGATCGAACAGACCCGGTGCACGGGCACGCACTCGGTGGTTCGACTCAAACTCAGGCAGGCATTCGATGGTTCGGCTCCAACGGTCGGGTGAGGTTTAATACGTGTGCGGATCGCATTAAAGATAACGCGTTACTACACGTCGGTTGAATAATTCCGATTGCTACGAGTCACACGGCCTCGATAGCCTTCTTAGGCTCGGTTATGGTCCCGTCGGCAACCAACGGCTGACCGACCAGATCCGGACACCCAATGACTCATTTTTAAGCTCATGGAGTCAAGTTGATTAAACGAAACTAAGGTTTAGACGATTAAATATCGAATTCAAAATTTACCCGGTTTCGAAAACCGGATAAAACTAGCGTTCTTGATCCTCGAAAATCCTAGCGTTCTATGTGATTTATTAGGATTTATCCCGCTTTTTAATCTATACTAAACGCCATCCAAAATTAACGAAATCCGAAACATTGGATCCTCATCATTTTTATGGTCAGCATATCGAGTCCAAAGTCAACTCCTAACCCATTCAACTAGTAATCGCATCAACCGGTCAAATCATTCAAAAATTCCGTTCGTCTATCAAACGAACAACAAAAATTTTCCCGACCCGCAACTTAAACCTCAAGACAACGCAAAGAATTTTATCAAATTTATTTCATCATTTTATGGAATTTTTATAAGAAGTCCGAAAAATTCGCTTCAAGCTCAAAAATATCCCAAAAAATCAAAAATTGCTCAAATCACCAATTCATCAAATTTATAATTATTCATTAACCATAACAAAGTCATTGAAGTCGAGTTCCAGCCATTTTACCTAAAATTGGACTCGGATCGGAGATCAGAAAAATTGAGAACGCTAAGGAAATGGATCGGTGAAGCAAAACAGGGTAGGGGCTACTCAAATGGGTCGAACCAGGTGCTACTGGGTCGGATTCTTAAGCGGGTCAACCCGGTCCGAGTTGGCTAGGTCTGAAACGGCCGATTTGAGCGGGTCGACTCACTGAGTCGCGGATCTGGGCGAGTTTTGCGACGGGTCGCGGATCTGGGCGACTTGTGCGACGGGTCGCGCGTGGAGCCGGGTTGCTGGGATCGAGCTCGCGCGTGTACGGGGCTAGGATGGCTGGAACGGAGCTGGGACGCCGGGTCGGGTGCAGGGGTGGTCCGAACGTGGTCGACCGGAGCTGCTGGGACCGGTGGGCGAGCTGGCTGCGACGGACGGGCTCGAACTCGGGTCGTACAGCAGCGACGGTGCACGGACGTGGGTCGAACGGACGGCACGGAGGTACGGGAAAGGCTCGCGAGCTCGAGCTGCTGCTGGTTCGAACCTGAGGCGCGTGCGAAAGGGACGAGCAGGGGCTGGTCGCGGCGAAACTGAGCTCGCCGGCGTGGGTTCGAAGGGAACTCTCCGAAACTCGGTAGTGGGTGGCCGGAAAACGCGAATGGTGACCGGATTCTTGATGTGGAAGGATGAAAATGATGAAGGGAGTGTATTTTTGCTATGGATCTTGAATGGATTCGGTTGTGTTAGGTGAAATGATGTGGAAGATGATGGATGTTCTATTTATAGTGTGATGGAGCTTAGGGTTTTTCTTGTCTATTGGGCTTCATAATTGGGCCTTAGTCGTGGGCTTTATAATCGGGCTAGATAATAACCGAACATAGACTTGATGTGGAAGGATGAAAATGATGAAGGGAGTGTATTTTTGCTATGGATCTTGAATGGATTCGGCTAGGATTTTTGTATGAAATGATGTGGAAGATGATGGATGTTCTATTTATAGTGTGATGGAGCTTAGGGTTTTTCATGTCTATTGGGCTTCATAATTGGGCCTTAGTCGTGGGCTTTATAATCAGGCTAGATAATAACCGAACATAGACTTAGGGATTTCTTTATTCGAGTATTAAATTGCTCGAGATCAAGACTAATTAAATTAGTTAGTCGAATAATTAATATAAGGCTCGAATTAAAAATCGACATAGGCTCGATTTTTAATTAAAATCGAGCATGGACTCGGTTTATTAAAGTGGGCCGAAATAAAATCAAACATGAGTTCAATTTATAAAAGTGGGCTGGAATAAAATAGACTCGCTCGATTATTGGGCTTTGACCCAATTTAATGAAATTTTCCAATAATTTCCAAGCCTCAGTTTTAACTTAAAATTAAAATCGGTACTTGGGCTAAACAAATCCTATTTTAATAATTAAAAATCGAATTAATCCTCCATGACTTATATTTATTGCTAATTACTCGATTTAATGCAAATAAAAATAGGTAAATGCATCAAATAATGAAACTGGTTATTTATGAAAATAAAATCGAACTCTATAAATAGTAATAAATATTCAGGACATTACAAGACATCCGTTGCACGTAGCCACCTACCCTAAAAGATGAATCCAATAAACATCAAATCTTATCTTACCAAATACCATACCAAAATATAAAAACATGAAAATCATTATTTTATATTAGCCACACCCGTGTGGGTCCCACCTATAAAATCTGAATTATTTATTTCACTTTTTAATATTCAAAATACTTATCCGATTTTCAAAACACGACACGACTACCAATAGAACAACAACTTATTATTGCAATATAATATAATATGGCAAAATTGCATATTAATACATCGTCTTTCATGTTTTTTTGCAATTTAATCACCACATTTGCAATTTAGCAATTTAATACACCACTTTGACTGTTATTTACAATTCGAATCACATGGCCTAGTTTCGGATTTTTTTAGTTGACATGGCATTCCACGTGTCAATTGGATATAAAAAAAATATGCTTATCGTGAAATTCGAACCTGATACGTGAAAGTTGCATGGTAGATCTATCACCACCACACCAATCCAAGTTAGTTTATTAATCTAATAGCATTTTGGATATATACAGACATTATGTATGAATAAATCAATTTAAATTTAAAGAAAGTGTAAGTTATATTAAATTAAATTAATAAAATATAAATTAAGATAGATTAAGTTATATAAAATTAAGATAATTAAAATATGTGCTCCTGCTATCTTCGTGGATCGATTTTAGAGGTATGAATTTTCAGAAATCGACAAACTATACCTTATTATGTTCGTCTCGTCATGGGTTTTAAAATCCCTAAATCAATTTTAAAGATTAATTTAAAATTTATCATTAATTGAGTTAAAAACTCTTTTGTGTCATATTAGGGTTTTTAATCGAGGAGGCAAATTGTCAGTTTCGATTACAGCAAATTGTAAAAAAAAAAAAAAGTTTTTATGGCAACTCAAAAAAATGACATACTTTGGGAGGTTAAAATTTTTTTTTCCCAATTTCTTACTTGCACACTCTTTAAAAGAATGGATGTGTTGTAAATATTATAAATCAATTGTCTATCAAACAAATAAATTTTTTATTTGTTCTGGTCTAGGTTTTTAAGAAGTTCGAGTTTATGTCATAAACTTACTTTGGTATCTATTCAAATAAGCATATTGAAATTTTTATTTATAATAGCTTATCAGTTAATTTTACCAAACAATTTTATCATATAAACTAGTTTTTCAGCCATAGTTTATAAGCTATCAACTACAAGATCGAAATTCACATAAAAGTTATAAACTAGCTTATAAGCTATAAGCTAGGTTTACCAAATATAGCTGAAATCATCAAAGAGCTTAAATGTAATTTCACTTGTATTTGTCATTTCAAACCACTTTCTACAGCACTGAATGTGAATGAAACAATTTTTTTGCTTGTGATTTATCACCATTGATCCACTTAATACTCGACGTTTATGTGGTGCTAGATTTAGATAATTGAATTTTTATCCATTAAAATGTTGTGTATGAGTTGATTTCTCACTATCTAAATGCATCTTCTTCAAGAGAAGATATATTGGTTTTTATGTTAAGATGTTGGGAGTATTCTTCGTGAGCACTTAGCTGATTGTTGGGAGTATTTCTCTTTGATGCTTTTGTCGATTTTCATGGTTTGTTTATATTTTCATGGTTTGTAAGTTTTTGTATAGAATTTGCATAGAGGTACTGGAAAAACACATTTTTCTGTCTTTGTTTTTTTATTATATTTTATTTATTTATTGTGCATGTAAGAGCACCCATGCAAGCTGAGAATACGTTTCGGCTTCACCCTATGGAAGATTTTGGCATGCTAACAGTTAATAGTAGACAACTGATTGAATTAACAATTTTAACTAGCTGATTGAATATCTAGTTTGGTAAAGTGTTCGATAAACTATTTTGAATTAGCAATGTATAACAAGAAACTCCTATTTTGAGCCTTTTCAAAATCAACCTTTTAGATTCAAAAAGCTATTTCAAATTGTATTTACCAAAAATAAATTAGAATTTATGATTTATCAACCTCTAATTCACTCAGACATCTAATTTAACTCGCGAAATAATGTTTACCAAACAACCTTTGATATGTAAACCCAAAATGATGTTTCACCAAACAAGAACTTTTATCACCAACCACATTTTTCTTCCCAAACAAAAGAGCATATTACTCAAAAAAAGGTCACTAGTTAATGCAAAGTTCAAAGATATGGGGAAGAACACTGTAAAGCACCAAAAGAACCACAAGCTAACAAAAAGGTATAGAAGAATTTGCCACGAGACAGAATAATTGAGATCTATAATTCGCTAATCTATTCCCATCCTTATACAAAGGGAACCAAAAACAAGTAACCATGGGGCAAAAGTCCCTAGCTACGACATACTGTGGCATCAAACTAACTATTCACAAAAAAATTTTTTAGTAATCTAGTTAATCTTGAACAAAAATTTAAGATTATTACATGTGCGAAAGTGGAATGTTTGTAAGATAAGAGTTCAATATGAGCAGTAATGTGAAAGCAGTCATTTTACTGTAAAAACTTTTGCAAAAAATGTGACATCTAATATAAAAAACAGAAAACTAATAAATAGGTATGCAAATAAATAGTCAATTAAATATAAGTGAATAGTTCCAAGTTGAAAACATGATTGGCTGCAGCAAAAGAAAATAAAATCCTGAAATACAAAAGAAAGCAGACTAACAAAAATCCCCAGGATACATATATAGAGCCAACTAAGTTGTGCGGAACATACTTATTCAACCGTTGAGCGGAACATAGCTCTCCACAAAAGGAAAAATGTGCATCCTCATACAAGCAGGCAGACTCTGTATCTTCTTCAACTCGCCCGTTGCACAATCAAAACACATCGGATTACAATTCGAGTCCAAAAAAATTAATTTATCAGTCCCAAGGAGGGTCCATAAACCCACAAAAAGAGGGACGGTGAGCGTGGACACCAGGGACCACGAGCCATCCCAAACCCAAATTTCCAAACTACGCATATTTTCTAGTGATCTTGGCCACGTGTCGTGACCCGAGATAACCATAGCACCGAGCAACCCGCAATATTCCACGAGCTCGATATTATCAAGATATGCCTTTATTCCAGTGAGCTTGTCACTCGGGGGCGCAGGAATAACAGAGGAAGCAAACTTCTCAGTAGCAAAGTCAAAAGACACGATAAACCGAGGATCTGAGAGATTTAACCAGTAATAAGTGCCGTTTACGTGAACACCAGAGTGTCGTGGAATACGTAAAGGATGAACGACACTGACTTGTTTCCATGAATTACTTCTGAGCGAATAAAGTTCGGCCATTACGGCTGGATTGGGTTGGTAATGTTCTCTTTTGTCATCATTGAGCTCGAGCAATCTTATCACCTTGTAATCCTCAGAAGCCGAATCAAACCCGAAACCAAAATAACCTTGTAACATCTTCACACACCTGTGGGAGCGTGAAAAAGTTGATAGGATGATTTGTTATATGAAAAAGTTGACTGATAAGTATCCATGCACTTGAGTCTATTTCAAGACTAGACCCATGTTTCATCATAAAAATTATTACTTTAACAAATGGTCTCACACTCATTTCAACCCAATTTAATTTGGGTAAATAATTTTTTTCCAACATGAACTATACGTGTTTCTGTGTTTTGCTACCTATAGTATTTTTTGTAGTAAAATGTAACTCAAACTTCATGAATTTTCATAATTTGCATACCTGTCTACATCTTAACCATACGAGTGTGTCCTTTTGTGCGGATGACCGTACGGTCATATAGTGGGTGAGCGTGCAAATTATGAATATTCATAAAGCTCATGTTGCAATTTACAACAAGAAATACTATAGGTTGCAAATTATAAAAGCGCGTATAGTTTGGGACCAATGTTTTATCCGTTTAAATTTTCCAAGATAAAATTAAACATTAACACTCTAAGCACCCAATTACGTTTTGAAAAATACAGTTGGTCGATTCATCCTAATTCGACTTGTAAAAGTTTGAGCTTGACATGCTTGTATATTTAAACGAGCTAAACTCGAACAACTAATCGAGCTTGTCTATCAACAAGTCGAACCGAGCGTGTTCGCGAATAATTCAGTTGGAGTTTTGGTTTAGGTTTTAAGGTTTATTAAATGACTTAAACTGGGTTCATATGAGTCGAACCAAAACTCAAATTTTTATTTGTTTATTAAACGAGTTGAAGTTTGTTTATTAAACGAGTTAAACAACTTCAACTCGTTTACTAAATGAGCACGAGTTCCAACTTGAAATACTCGATTCGAAAAATCTAGCTAGACACATGTATAAAGAAACCAAAATAATTTTTAAAATTTAATATAGGTTGTAAATATTATTAAAAAGTGAATGTCGCATTTATAAAATAAAAATTCTTATACTTTCTTATGAAGACTCTCCTTTAACAAAAACTTGTGAATTTTTAGCAACTCTCTTATACATATCTCTTATACATACTGACAAATATTATTTTTAATTGTTTATTAATATTCTCATGTACTTGAATTTTAATTAAAAAATAATAATTTACTAAAAGAACTACTACAAAACAATGTAATAGTCCAGTCATTAGGAATGACAAAACGACCCGGACCAAGTCTGGCCTGCCTTGCTTGTAAAGCAGGCCGGGGCGGGTCCGACCCGTTAGAAAACGGGCCAGATTCGGGTTCTATGTATTGCCCCGACCCAGCCCGCCCCGACCTGGCCCAACTGTTTAATATATATATATATATAAAGTAATTAAGTAAATGTTAGGGTTTTCTTTTCTCTCATTCCACCACCCGCTGACCCGCCTATCCTTCTCTTCTGTATCGCCTCGCCCTCGCGTCGCTCTCCCGTCTCCTCTTCTCAAATTCACCCAACCGGCCAACCCCACGCCCCAGGCACCACCGCACGTCTGCACCAGCACCGTCCTCCTCTCCTCCGACCGACAAAGTCTCCAACGCAAAGCCTCGACGCCTCCCGTCTTCGAGACACCGCCTCCAACGCATTCGCCGCCTCGACGTACCGCAGCGCCCCCGCCGACTCGACGCCGGCTCCACTTTGCAGATTTGAAAGTTGATTACAATTGAAGTTGAATTCATTTTTCTCTGTGCGAAAAATCAGAAAATTTCATTTTGCTCGACAGATTCGCCTTTGAGGTTTTTCTTTCTAAAATTCTCTACTTTTTTATACCCTTTATCCAATTTTTGTAACCTGGGCCTTTTTCATTCTGGCTTGAATAGTTTCAAAGAAGTCACTTGGTTATTTTTGTGCTTTATTTAATTTATTTAACTTCATGGGTTTTGTGAGTGGCATTTGGATTTATGCTTTTGTTTGACGCTCTATTGTTGGTATAATTAGTTTTTGAATGCTTTATGTGATTAAAGTTGGTGCAAGTTTGAAATTTGGGTAAGGAACTATGTGATATATTGGGTTTATGATATGATTTGTTGATGTTTTTATGGTCAACATCGTTCGGTTCATGGTAGGAATAGGAAATTGTGAAAAGAAAATTTTGAATTGTGTTGCTCCCGAGTGTAGGTTCATATGTTGAAATGTAACCTTACAATAAAATTTAGTTATCTAAAATGTTTCCACTAGAAATTAAGATTTGAACAATAGTATCAGGGGAAAAGGCATAGAAGCTGTTTGAGTCCTTGAAGTGCCTCGTGAAGCCTTTGAAATTAATCTCTTGTCTCCAAATTTTGTCCAGAGTTGCTCAAAATAGATTATCAGAGAATTTAAATCATCGTATGTTAGACAAATTTCTATTTTGTTGTCTGGCATTTCAGGAGAAAAAGTTTTGTTCAGAATTAACATTCATAAAGCCAACTATTTTGTGGAGCTATGGTCTACGAGTATGCATACTGAAAGAAGTTTAAAGCTAACGATCAAAAAAAAAAAAAAAAATTTAAAGCCTGGTGATATTTTTCTATAGATTTTCAAAGTCCTTTAAGTTGTGGGTTCATACTTCCTACAGATTTTTAAGGGGGAAATCATGTATACAAGCAAGCGGGATCAAATAATGATACCAAGAATTTGGTAAAACTGAGTGTTTACTTGTGTTACACTTTTGTTTGCAGAACTCACCAAAGGAGTGTATAAATATGTTTTGAATTATAAACCTGCTTACTATATTTTTCAAATTTATGCACATGATGGTAGATCACGAAGAAAGACTGACTTCCAGCCATGATGTTGATATGCCACCTGAGAATTCCCCACCATTGTCATTGCCAATTTCTTTCGATGCTAATATGCATACTCCTCAAGACGGGATGAGCCCTCTTGTGACTCCACTGTGACGAAAATGAAACGGCATCCGAAAGTGGTGGACTCATGGAAACCTTAAAGCGGCTATATGGAAAGAGTATGAGAACCTAGAATGGTGTCGGAAAAATTAAAGGCTAAGTGCAAGCATTGCCAGCCAATGTATGCTAGATAATCCAAGCCAAGGAACTCACTTGAAAAAACATTTTGAGAAATGTCGTTAAAGAAAGGCAAGAGACATTAGACAAATGGTCCTAAAAGGTAATTTTTCCATGGAAAATTTTGAGTTGTCTCCCTATAGTTTAGATCAAGAACTATCACGTAAAGAATTAGCAAAAATGATCATCAAGCATGAGTATCCTTTGAAGATGGTTGAACATGAAGGATTCAAAAACTTTGCAAAAAGTTTGAATCCTTGCTTTAAAATGGTAACAAGGAACACAGTAAAGAATGATTGTTTTAAGATTTATGAAAAGTTGAAGGAAGTCGTGATTAGGGCTGAGCATGGGACTCGGAGAATTCCGAACCGTTCCGAAAACAGAACCGAAATCATTCTGAACCGAAAAATAATCATTGACCATTTGACTTTCTCAGAACCGAGCCGAACCGAACCGAAAAAATAATTGGTACGGTTCTCGAGATTTCACAAATATCCGTACCGACAACCAAACCGTCCTATATCGTACCGAAAAACTAAATTATAACATTAGATGTGTGTTATTCATATATTTTATGTCAACTTTGATCTTATATAATTTGAAAATTTTCAAAATGCGAATAAAATATAGTAATAACAATTAAGATTCACTTAAATTTCATACTTAATAATACTTGATCTACAATTTCAATTGAATTTTTTTTGTTGTAAAAAAAATTATTTAAAATGGTATGAAATGTTAAAGAAATATTTTAAAAAATATTTTTATATTTTACTTAAATTTGTCAATACTTTTCTTAGTCTTATTGTATCTTATATTTAAAATGGTATGAAACGTTAAAGAAATATTTTTTTAATAAAAAACTATAATATATTTCGTTTGAATTCTAAATTTTCAATTTTAGCTGCACAAATTTAGTTTTAACTAAAATTTAGAGTTATTTCTAAAGTTTGTTTCAAAATGAAATCTTTTAATATGATGAAGTATTGTTGAATGTTGGTTTTTTCTTAATAAAACATATAAAAATTAAATATAAAATTTAGAGTTACTTTTGAAATTTATTTTAATATAAAATTTTTAATATGATGAAGTATTAATGAATGTTGATTTTTTAAAGCATACAAAAATTAAAAATATAACAATGTAATCATTCAAAAAAGAAATAAGAAATCTCCGGATATCCAAACCGAACCCAACCTTTCGATAGTTCCGAATACTGAAACGAACCGAAAAATAAAAATCTCTGCACAGATCCGTCCCGATTTTTGGTACGGTTTGGGAGACCGAAATTTAGTGATCTCCGAATTTTAGTACGGTTCTGGAGGTTTCTAAATTTGTGATAGATTGCAAGTATTCTATAAAGCGACTGAGTTGTTCTCTGGTATTGAATAACCCACTGCAAATTTGTATCTTCCTAAAATTTGTGAAGATAAAGCTTGCTTTGAATAATTGAGTTACTTGTGGTATTGGTAAGGTTGAGTCAATGGCGGTAGAAATGTTGGCTAAGTTTAATAATTATTGGTCTGATGTGCATGGTATCATGGGAGTGGAGGCTGTGTTTGATCTTAGGTATAAAACACAAATAAATGTGTTTTGCTTGAGTACTATTTTCAATGATTTATGGTACCAATGGTGAGTATGAGGTTGAGGAGATTCTTGACATATGTCGTGAGTTGGTACAACAATACGAGGCTAAGGGGAAGAGAGGCGGTGATACTAGTGGCTTAGTTGATCCTAATTTTTCTAATGACCCATACGCTGGATTTGACTTGTATGCCTCTCAATGAAAGAGAGAATCTACAAAATCGGAGTTGCATTTGTATTTGGATGAGGACTTTCTACCACAAAAGTATGATGTCTGACGTCTTAAGTTGGTGGAACTCAAATAAAGGCAAGTATCAAATTTTGCATCAAATTGCGCGGGATATGTTAGCAATTTCAACCTCTACGGTTGCTTCTGAGTCCACTTTTAGTACAAGCAGACGATTGATCAGTCCTCGTCGTAGTAGACTTCACCACACGACTATTGAGGCGTTGATGTGTTCACAAAGTTGGATGCAATGCGATAGGTAATTCTTTCTATTAAAATATCAATTTCATTTGATGTTTAAGTACTTGATATGGTAAGTCTTTATTTACTATGCATATTACTTATCCTTGTATTGAATTTAGAAACTAAAACACTTGGTGAAAATGCAACGGTTTTTTATGATTCGGATGACGAGGATAACGGGACTTAGGTATGATATAATTCACATTTATTATATTTTTTAGTTGTGTATGATATACTAGTGGCTCTATTTAGTTGTGGAAAAACTTTGTCGGCTTGTTAGAAGTACATTGTCTTGTTACTCCTATTTAATGTTGGCTTTGTATTTTGGATATGCTTTTATTTGGGATAGATGTATCTAAGGGTGGATAGACTCTGTTAAAAAAAAATCTTTTATTTTGGTCATGTTACTCCTTAATTATGTTATCTATGTTTTTAAATTTGTTATGTCTTTTGTGTTGTAATAATGTTTGCTCTATGGTTTTTGGGTTTACGCATGGACCCAAATGAACAATCGCCCATGCCATTGTAGCATGTAGGCAAAAATAGAACAAGGCCAATAAACCATGAAAATAGTATGGGGCCTGGACCCGTGGCAAGTCACGGGTCACGTCGGATCGCGGGGCAGGTCCGGGTACGGACCGACGTGCCCCATTTCATCCTCATTCTTATTATATGCTATGTAATATGTCATTTCATTGAATTTGTCAAACAAATAATTTAGTAGTAAATTCAATATAATCAACTATTGTTTATTTAAAAATTCAGTGAATTTCAATTCTATACTAAGTATTCTTAAAAGTCTAATACAATTCCCGAATAATTATTCAAATAAAATCTATTTCATAAAATATTAAAAAATAAACATAAAATGACATAAAAGAGGCATAATAATTTTAAAAAAACATCATGTTTAAATATTTAATTCATTAATTTAATGTAAAACAAATTTAAGCCAAAATAAGATTAATATTGATCTAGTGTAACATTGGCTACAATATTTTTTACCACCAGTATAAAAGTAACAAAGCGGAAAAATTAAAACCGGGTTGAAGCCCAACACAACCTTAGGGTGGCTCCGCACCTGATCCTAACCATATATACGTGCATAATAAAATTTATGAGTTTCACAAGTATTGGTACCTGGGGTCGAAGTTTGAAGGTGGAGGAGGAAGGATTTTAAATTCCCCTGTGGTCGGGTTCAACAATGCCTCCCCTGGAGGCTTTTTTGTTTTGCCTGTATTTATATCATATGATCCTGGTAACAAAATCAGCAACAAACCATTGCAAATAGATGAGGGAAGGTCAAGATCCCGGGCCATTGGATATTTGAGATGTTTTTCGAGTTTAGGAAATTTATCCTTGATCGAAATTATTGAGTAATGCACCAATTCCTTGCCCACTTCCCATGATAATGGAAGCTGGGCCACCATAAACTTGCTCTCATCCTTGATGATAGAAGTTGAGCACAACTTTAGGAAGGAATTGAATTTTGTTTTGGCGTGCGCCAAAAGCTTGAGAGACATGGTTCTCAATTATTCCTCTTTGCGATGCTGGGAAGGAAGAAGAACCAACACTTCTGAGGTTTCTGAGTTCTGAATAGGTATAGCCGCATAGGCGCAGGCAGAGGCGATTTTAAACCCTAAATCTGTGAATTATATTGGATTTGATTTTACGGATGTTATGCTCAGCCCAGTCTTATACATAAAACGGTAATGATAAGCAATCCAAAGCAATCCTATATTATTGGATTTGGGTTTACGGACCATTAGGCCCAACCCAATAGGATTGGACCAGTTAATTGGTGGCGAATATGTTTGAAATAAGGACATTTTTTTAAGAAAATTACTCCATATGTCTTCTCTCATTAATTATTTATATTTATATAATAGATTATTGCTAATTATTTTACATATCTAATTTTTTATGTCTGTTACCCAAGTGTTACTTCTTTACGTAGTATCAGTTTTTTAGCAGTTCCCAAATCAATTTTTAGCTGTGCTTTTCTGTTTCTTTCAAATCTTTTCACTCGATTCACATGCAACTTTCCATTCTCTTTCTTTTTTCTTCATTCTTGTTCGCCTTCCAATTTTATTCCTTTTGTTCTTTTCTTCTTTTCTACTACTATGAATCTCGTGGAATACACGAGTAAGAGATATTCATTAATATTTATAAATTAAAAATTCTCATTAAATAATATTTATAAATTAAAGATATAGAATTAATATGTAATAAATCTACATATATTAATTTATTTGAAAATGTTATGAAATTTAAATTGTGCAAAATTACATAAAACATGTTCTTGGAATATTATGGTGTTTGATCCGAAATCAAGGCATTGACCTCTGGATTATCGTTAATTCAAGTCAAATCAAGTCAAAGAGACGATCAAGCTGAAGATTTTGCTCCAAGACTCAAAATCGTTCGTGATAAGAATCGGAAGAGAAAATAAAGATTGTAATCCACAATATTCATTTAATTCAAGAAATTCATTTGTAAAATATTTTTCGGGCGTATAAATTCAATACACAAAATTTGTTGTTACACATATCTATTAAAATTAGTACACAACCCGTACGTTGCACATAACTGATACTAAATTACATTATTTGCATTTCAAAATAAGAGTCATTTTAAAATTTTTATTCATAAATTCGATTTGACTACAATGTGATTCCATAAAATAAATATTTTGGTAAAATTTTATCACATATTTTAAAATTTTTGTGAATAATAAGTATACTTATAAATCTTAAATTGTATTATTAATTAAAATAAATTTATTTTTGTATAAACTATCCAAATCCAAAATTTAAGTAGTTGAATAATTGATTAAACTATAAATAATTGACTATTCTATTTACATCCAAGTTAATATTGACCCGTAAGTTATGAATAATTACTTATTGGACTTTTAAATTTGGACTACACATTTAGGAGCATTTATAAAAAAAATCACTCATAAAAATCAATGCAATATAACATGATATAATCCATTTAAAATATACTTAGCCAACCACATTACCATATGTCACAATCATCCTCGTCATCACTAGAACTATGGCCTTCCGAATCTTCATCGTATTCTTCTAATGTGCAATCTTCTACTTCATTGTCATCTTCATCAATGAATGTAGAACTATTATCTACCGAAGGTGCCCCCATATCTGTCTCAACAGTTGCTGATGGAATATCAGTCCTATGTCATTCTACAGTATCACTGGGACAATTAAACAAGTCACTTGTGTTATGTGATTCATTTTCTTGGAGGGATTCTTCAAATATTATGTTGTCATCATCGTGCTTCTCAAGCACATTCCATGAGCTTTTAGTTTGTGCCTCAATTACAATTTTCCAATCCTTTCTTAATTTATTATCATCAACATAAAACACCTGTCGTGCTTGGGATGCTAACACAAATGGCTCATCCGTCTTCCATGGCTTTGTTGTGTTAATGCTCGTACAGTTAAACTTGTCCCTCTGGACTGATCTACCTTCATACCATTCACATTTAAACACCACCACTTGATGGTTTCCCAAAAAGTCTAGTTGAATTATTTCTATCAACACACCATAGTAATCTAGCAATCCAGATTGATCCTTTACCTTTACAACAACACCAGAATTTTGTGTTCTCCTAATAACTTCATGTTTTCTAGTATGAAACCGTAATCCATTCACAATGCAAGCCTCATAATGAGTTACTTGTTTGTCTGAACCATATGCCAAGTGTTGCAAATCCTCATTCATATGTAGCATCCCTTCACCAAATGCCAACTCAATCTGTAATTGAATTCAACTAACTAATTTCCATCAAAATAAACAATTATACTTAGATATGTATAAATCAAAATGAATTACTCGCTTTTGAAACCATTCGTGAAAGACTTCTCATGCTCTTTCTCCACATTTCGGCAACCATTGTGTTCTAACTCTTCCTTGTGTTCGCTAAAAGCAAAATCACAACAAAGGAAAAATTTTACTTCTATAGATACAAGTTACAGGATAAATGAATTTTAAAGTATGTACATCCAGTTGGATTGAATATAAAAAATAGAAAGTAAAAACCATGTTACTTGTTCAGGCTCTTCATTTTACATTAGACAGTTGAACTTAAAATGTGCAAATAGATATATATTAAATAAATAAAAGAACTTGATCGCATACAACTACCTGATAAATGGTAATACTTCATCACAATTCTTCAAAACATATGCGTGCACCTGTTTCCATGCATTTTCCTCAAGAAATGTGTATTCACCTTTTCTGATAAGCCGCGGGTTTTCAGAAAACACAGACAATGTTACTTTTGATTTGTTCTTTATGTTTTCATAATTACGTTCAACTTTACTGAATTTCGTCTCAATGTCATCCAAGTACATTGAGCAAAAAGTCAGACATTCTTCGATAATGTAACCATCGGCCATCGATCCTTCTGGAAAAGCTTTATTTCCTACATATTGCTTCCATATATACAAGTACCTAAAATATAAATAACATATAAATAAGAAATACTTTTATGTATGATATTATCTCAAAGTCTGAAAGGAACATTAATTTCTAACCTTTCTATAGGATACATCCAACGATAATGTACTGGACCTCCAAGTTTTGCCTCTCGTGGAAGATGGATAGGCAAGTGAACCATAATATCAAAGAATGCCGGAGGAAATATTCTTTCTAACTTGCATAGAGTCAATGCAATTTGATCTTCAGGATATTCCAAGTCAGCTATCTTTAATGCTTTTGAGCACATTCTTTTGAAGATACGGCTAAGATCATGTAATGCCTCGCATACATCATTGTTTAACAACCCACGTATAGAAAGAGGCAACAATTCTTGCAAAATAATATGGCAGTCATGAGTTTTGAGACCTGTCACCCGACACTCGTGAATGCGAACACGATTCGACATACTTGCAGCATAAGAATCTGGATATTTCACAGAAGCCAAAAATGCACACATCTTTTTTTCTTCTCCTCTGGACAAAGTATAACATGCAGGTGGCATCATATAAGAATTTCCCTTAAGTACCGGATGCAATTGTTGTCGTATCCCCAATTCTTGCAAGTCAAATCTAGCTTTAATAGTATCTTTCGTCTTACCATCAATGTCTAATAAAGTGCCAAGAACATTATCACAAATATTTTTTTCTATATGCATAACATCTAAGTTATGTCAAAGTGAAAGTGTTCCCCAATATGGCAGCTGAAAGAAAATGCTAGATTTTTTCCAATTTAGTTCCTCGACACATTTTCTCTTCTTCAGTTGTGACTTCCCAAATATTGTTTGTTGAACAAGTTTTAATTGCTCAACCACGTCATCACCCGTTAAAGAAACTGGCTTATTTCTCAATTCTTTCTTACCATCAAAACAACTTTTGAGATTTCGCCATTTATGATCATGCGGCAAAAATCGACGATGGTCCATATAACATACCTTTTTCCCGTTTTTCAACCAAGAACTACATGTTTGCTTATTACATACAGGACATGCCAAATATCCTTTTTTGCTCCATCCAGATACCATTGCATATGCAGGTAAATCGTTTATGGTGCACAGTAATGCTGCACGAAGGTTAAATGTTTTGCCGCTGTATGCATCATAAGTATCAATACCGCTATCCCATAGTTCTTTCAATTCAGCCACAAGAGGCTCTAGAAAAACATCAATATCATTTCCTGGAGATGATGGACCACGAATAAGCATCGACATAATGAAAAAAGGAGCCTTCATACACATCCATGGGGGCAAGTTATATGGCAAGAGAATTACGGGCCACGTGCTATAAGATGTGCTCATATTTGAGAAATGATTAAAACCATCAGTAGCCAACCCGAGTCTAACGTTACGAGGATCTTGTGAGAATGATTCATATCTTTTGTCAAAGTCTTTCCACTCCTGAGCATCAGCCGGATGCCGTAAACCTTCATCATTAACACGCTTCTCCTTGTGCCACCTCATGTCTTGTGCTATTTTTTTAGATATAAACAATTTTTGCAATCTTGGCTTTAATGGAAAATAGCGTAGAATTTTTTGAGGAATTTTCTTATGCTTTTTTCCACCATGTGTGCCAGTATTTACCTCATTGAGTTTGTAGCGTGGAGCTGAACATTTCGGGAAATTTTCTCTAAGTTCATACTCCTTTCTATATAGCACACAATCATTGACACAAGCATCAATTTTCTGGTAGTCTAAGCCAAGATCTTGAACGATTTTTTTTGCCTCATAATATGAGCAAGGCAGAGTCTCGCCATTGAGAAGTGCCTTCTTCAGTACTTCAAGCAACATAGAAAATGATTTGTTGTTCCATTTATAAAGAACTTTCAAGTGCATAAGAGTTACCACAAATGATAATTTGGTAAAACTCTCACAACCGGGATATAATTCTTTATCGACGTCTCTCAATAACCGCATAAATTTATCCGACTCTGACTGTGGTACTGCATATTCTTCTCTATTTGACGAATCATCTCCTGTCCAAGCATTCGTTCTCGACGCTACATAGTATTCCTCCAGTAAACTTTGCATATCGTCGTGATCATTCTCATTACACTCTTTCTCATTTCCAGTCACTTCATTTAGCTCGCATTCGTCATTGTCTTCTGGTTGATCAAAATATAGTTCTTCACTACTAGAATCATCAAGT